TTGTAAGAAACAAATTTTAACATGAGATGAGAATGAATCTTTGACCATTCCTTTTTGGGGATTACATGAGATGAGAAACAATTACATGCAAAACTATTTTGGGGATTTATCATTTGATGACTACTCTTCACAATATACTTACTCTACACATAGAGATAATAAAGATAGTGCAAATTTTGAACCTCATAGGAACTCTATGTGGTACTAAGTCACTCATGCAATGTAAAGTGTAAAATATTGTAGTAATTCATTATATATAAATGATTATGGTGTGTTTAATCTTCTTTCATTAATTACTACATATTTTCTACACTTACAGTGTTTGCCAGCTTGCTATATAATCAACTTAAATCAGTTAAATCCATCATGCAATGCATTTCCTTCCAATTTTTTGTGATAAACTAATAGATAATTGACTAAATAAACATCCTGCAAAGTTTCAATAAAAATTTCCAAGTTTTTCTTACAATTTCCGTGGTTTTTATTCAATTTTTACCGATACCGATAATATCCCGATATTTCCATCGACATTTCCGTGTTTTTGGACTTCCGATATTTCCGATGCCACCGATATTTTAGACCTTGGTCATGGCAACCCAAGAGCAATTACTATTCATATGGGTTTAATTTTATTTATATGTATGAAATTAATAAATAAAAATCTGAATTTTTTGGTAATTTTTCAGAAATTAAAAAAAAAAAAAATTCTTCACTGACGTCAGCCCTCAAACAGTAGCTGGGGCTATGTTGCCTTGGGCCTTGCCTGGGCTTGATGGAGCCCAGCTCTTGCCCGGGCTGGATGTCACCGCTGGAGCTGATTTTGGGAGACAGGGGGCCTTTTGCCTGGGCCGGGCTGTCCTCATCGAATCCTTTCGTCCTCCAAAAAAATCCTCTCCGAACCCAATATCTTCCTTCCCCTTATGCCAAGAGACCAATATTCAAACGTGGGCTCATCAGCTATATCACTCTCCCTCGTGTGCCCTAGATTGCTCGTCTGCTGTCGGCGGTGAGGTACTGTTCTGTGGCAGCGACGTCATCTATCAGGTACTGTTCTCGTCTCTGGAACTGAGTCGTTCAATCTTTCGTTCCAGATCGATACCGTACTGCGATTGGGTACGCACCTGTTCTGTATAGTTTTCCTGGTTTTATTCATATGTTTGATTTAGTAGTTACTTTTGGAGTGCTAATTTTGTTTGTTCTTGTCTAATTTGGATTTATTTGCCTTGTTCTCAGGTTGATCCCCTTGACTTACAACACCTTAACAAAGAATGGCTGACGTGGTCCAGTACCGGTTGGAGCGGATGATCAACGAGCTCGATGACCTCGAGCAACGGATGATCTTCACGCGCCGTGAGATTGCTGAAATCGTCAAGCAGCGTCGGAAGTTCGAGTACCGTCTCAAGCGGCCGAGCCCACTCAAGGAAGACTACCTCGCCTACATTGAGTATGAGACTCAGCTTGACTCACTCCGTCGCCTCCGGAAAAAGTCGGTGATGCGTGAGCTGCAAAAACAGGGGCTGAAGACCAATAAGAAGATGAAGAAGTCAGTTTCTGACTTCGCTGGCGTAAGGAGGATCGTTGATATATATAGGCTTGCGGTCATGAGGTTTAAGGGTGACATTGAGCTCTGGTTTCGGTACCTTGAGTTTTGTAGAGAGCGACGGCATGGTAGGATGAAGAAGGTAATACTCATTCCCCTAAAATGGCTCCAACTTTCTGGGAGTTGTTTTGTATCTGTGGGTTGAATTTATTCCATAGTTGATCACTGCATTTCTACATTTGCTATATAGAAAATGGTTGTTAGTCAATTGTACTCTCTCCTATTACAACGATCTATGAGAATTTGCATATAAGTAGAATGTTTGACCTGTTCATGTTATTTACTATTATCAAATTTTCAATTGTTGAAGGAGGAGTGCCTTTTTGCAGGTCCTGGCACAAGTAATCAGGTTTCACCCAAAGGTCCCAGGAGTTTGGATATATGCTGCAGCTTGGGAATTTGACCATAACTTAAATGTTGAAGCTGCCCGTGCTATCATGCAAAGTGGGTTGAGAGTCTGCCCAACTTCAGAAGATCTTTGGATAGAGTATCTTCGGATGGAACTCACATTCCTTAATAAGCTAAAGGCCCGAAAGGTTGCTCTTGGAGAGGATGTGGGCATTCTGGCCCCTGATCAGATAAGTGCCGATGAGAAACAGTGGAGAGATGAAAATAAAGATTTATACATGCCCCTTAATGAAGAAGGAGAACATAATGAAGGAGCAGACATCGAAAGTGAGAAGTCAAGGAAGAAAATCGACAAGTTTCAGGAGCAAGGTTTTAGCATTCTAAGAACCATATATAGCGGAGCTGTTGAAGCGCTTCCCTCTAGTTTTAGTATGAGAAAGCAGTTTTTGGAGATTTTGGATGCAACTGACTTGGTTAATTCGGAAGAAATGCATAAGGAAATACTAAGTGACATCAAGAGAGACTTCTCAACACAGCCAGAGTATTGGGACTGGCTAGCAAGACTTGAATACAATCCTGCAACCACACAGGAGATCAGTGAAGAAAATACCCATTCTCAAGTGGAAAAAGCAGTTCAGGTATAAATCCATGTGGACTGCTTAAATCCTATAGTAGTAAAATTATTTTTGTAGTCTTATATTGGCTAATTATTCGATAAATATGCTAGATGAATCTGAATAAGACACATGCATTTGCTAATATGTTCCTGTAACTGCCATGCTATGAGTAGGTTTATGAGGAGGCTGTAGAACTTCTGCCTTCCGCCATAATGTTCAACCAGTATGCAAAATTTTTTATGGGTGTTACTGCTCTTCTAAAAGGAGAAAACAAACCTTCTGGGTTAGCCGGTCAGTCTGCTAGTTATATTTCACATCTTTTGAGAGTCTATGAAAAGGCTGAAACAATGGGATGCATTGACGAGGATCTTGCCTGTCAGCATATCTCATTTTATTTGCAACTTGGAAGACTGGATGAAGCCCGGAAACTGGCAGAAAAGCTTTGTCGTGAAAAATTTTCAAGTTCAGCACAGTTATGTCTATTAAGGGTCTCAGTAGAAGTTAGGCATTTGACAAGGGATTCCACTTCGCCAAGTAAAGCCGAGCTGCTATCCATCTTTGAACTTCTAAAAGATGCTTTGACAAGAGTGTCGACTTCAGAAGCTGAGAGCCTGTGGCTAATGGTATGTTCTCTGCACATTTGAATTTTTCCCTCTCTTCTGTTGAACTCCATGTTTGACTGTGAGTCATTAGCTGATGCAGCATCTTTGTGAGGAAAGTTAACATTATCTCATATTGCAGGCCCTCAAAATCTTTGGAAATCAAAAGCATTATTTTGAAAAATTAGTTGAGATTTCTATTAAATCATTAGCTAAAGATGGTGGCACTGAAAATGGATTCTCTCTTTCTTCTGCTATCGTGAATTTTGTTCTTCAAAAGGATGGAGTTCGACATGCTAGGGATGTGTATAAGCGGTATGTCATTTTATTATGAGCTTGATTTTTCCCCCAAGGAGATTTTCACAACCATATTAACTATACATTTTGACTTCAACGAAAATAATTTGGTACATAAAATTTGATTATCATAGCTTCTGCAGTGTTCTCTCCAAGAAGTTTTTAAGCTTGTGTCCTGTTTGAATTGCAGCTTTCTAGCTTTACCGCACCCTGGGCTTGCTATATATAGGACCTGCATTGAATTGGAATCAAACCTTGCATCCAATGGCGATAAAGATAGTCTTGTTAATGCCCGAAAGTTATATGAATCTGCACTTAAAAATTACGACCAAAATCTGAGCTTATGGCGAGATTACTATTGTATGGAGACCAAGGTGAGCTTTCCTATGGTTTTGCATCTATTTAACAATGCGTTCATAAAGTCCATTCAGTGCATGCGTAAGGTTGGGGTTTTACTGTTTGATTAAATTTGGAAGCAGACCAACCATTTTGTGGTCTCTGCCTATCAGCGGAGCAGACTGGCCCTTTTTTAAATATTATCATTTTAGTTTAACTGGCTTTATATATAGGCATCTACTATCTAGAAAACTACAATTTCCATTTTAAAAAATAGTTCTGTTTCTGTTAGTGTCCTGACCTGAGACAGGAATTGTGAACACCGCCATGCCACTATCGTTTTTGTGCGGCTTTGTATTCAGAATCTATTTTTAATAATACTTGGTGTTCATTGTTTAATGACATTTTTATCATGTAATCTAAAAAAACCTACTGATAAGTTTAGCATATATTCCACAAATTTTACAGATGGGAACATCAGAAACAGCTTCTGCTGTCTATTGGCGTGCACGGAAGATTCTGAAAGACAGTTCCGCACTTGTAACTCAAGATTTGTGAAAGTTGTGTAAAATGCTATTCAGTTTTGATCTCATGTAGCTTCACTTCTTTGAATGTAGTTTCAATAGAAAATGGATAGTAAGCCATAACTCTGTTGCATGTGATGCCAAAGGAGTTGGGTAATGATTACAGGTTTTGTTTTTGTTTTGTTTTTAAACTTTGGTGCTCAGAGTAATCTGGACAATTGCTTAAAATATTTTGGCTTGCCCCTCCATTTGCTGCAGGGGCGCACTAGAATATCTCGTCTCAAAATCCTGCGTTTCATGTGGAACTGACTAATTTATGGGGCAACAAAGCATGCTAATTTATTACACTAACTTATTACACTAATAAATCACGTACTGAGGAATAAAGTATGAAGATGAAAAATGATTTATAACTTGAAACCAACCACCTAGCTTGTTTTGGCTTTGACCTTCAGTCAACTCAAAGAAGAAAAGAAAAAGGGAAACACGTCTTGTTTGAAGGTAAAAGAAGTCATTGTGTCGTTTTTTAAGAGGCCGACTAGGAAGTTCCGCTTTACCCTTGCTGCTGCCGGCTGCCGGCTGCTGGCTGCTGACTGCCGAGTGTTGACAAAATAAAAGCAATATATGTTCCTCCTCCTCCTTTCATGATGCAAACCTTCTGTTGAATTTACCCATCATCATGTTCATAATCCTCCTCGTCCTTGCTTCTTTAATTCTTTACCTTGTTAATTTTCTCCTCGGACGTTTTGAGTTTCCTTCTTCTTCAACCCCTGAATTGGAGCATGACGAAGCTCCTCAAGCAGTGCCTTCATCTTCTTCATCTTCAACCCCTGAAATATTGGATTTTGATGTCTTCCTCAGTTTTAGGGGCGAAGACACCCGCAATAGTTTTACGGACCATTTATATCACGGTTTGAAGCTGAAAGGAATCAATACATTCAGGGATGAAGAGAAGCTTGAGAGGGGAAAACCCATCGCACCAAATCTCCTGAAAGCAATTGAACACTCCAAGTTTGCAGTCGTCGTTCTTTCAAAAGACTACGCTTCTTCAACTTGGTGTTTGGATGAACTTGCCCATATTGTTAAATGCATGAAAGAGGGGAGACTAGAAGTGTTTCCGGTCTTCTACCACATCGAGGCATCCGAGGTAAGAAAGCAAACAGGAAATTTTGGAAAGGCCTTTGCTAAGCATGAAGAAAATTTTAAGAAGGAAAAAGGAAAGGTGAAAAAGTGGAGGAGAGCGCTGAGGAAAGTATCCGAAGATGCCGGATGGGATTTGAAAAATAGGTATTTCTAGTACTCTTCTTCTTCAATTGAAATTACAGGGTAGTCTTATCTTCAATTGAAATTACAAGGTAGTCTTATATTTAACTGTTTTAATAACATATGCCTTGCTTGATTAGATGATTATGCTTATTCATTTTGTTTCTTTTTCTCATTAAAATGTTTATGGTTCTCTTTATTATATAATCCCTATATAGCTATTCTTTTTTGTTTGATGCAGCAAATTGAATCAAAGCTTGCTTATAAATTTGATGCTTAAAAAGAAATGTCAACTTGTGGCCTTGTTTAATAAACTAAAATGGGAGAAGAACTTTCCTGTACCAGTTGAATACACTGATTCTCCCTTTCTCACACATCATGCACCTAAGTTGTGTGAGAAAGAGAGAGTCGGTGCACCTAATTTCCCATGTATTCTTTTGCAGGAAAGAATCAGAAGTTATTCAGGAAATAGCTAACAAGATTTCAAATATATTGAACGACAAACTCTCAAGTTCTAACAACGATTTAATTGGAATGGATTCTCGTATTAAGAAAATGGAGGAGTACTTGGCTCTTTGTAGGTCGGATGATGTTCGCACCATAGGGATTTGGGGGTTCGGGGGCATTGGTAAGACAACTCTCGCAAACGAAGTTTTTAAGAAGATCAAGGACCAATTTGATGCTAGCCGCTTCGTTTCCTTTGTTAGAGAGGAATCTACAAAAGTAAATGGTCTAGTTTGCTTGCAGAAATCTCTCTGTGCAACCTTGCTGCACTGCGATGAAGATATACAAAATGATGATTTGGGGATCCAATTGTTACGTACCAGACTAAGGAATAAAAGGGTGCTTATTGTTCTAGATGATGTTAATAAACTAGATCAGATAAAGGCTTTAGCGGATGAGTCTTGGTTGGGTCCAGGGAGTCGAGTCATTATAACAACTAGGGAGAAGCATGAGTTGGACAAGTGTGGACTACTTGCAGATGGTATATACGAGGTTGACAAGCTGAAGGTTGGTGAAGATTCTCAGCTCTTCTGTCGAAAAGCCTTCGAGAAAGAGGAAAATGATGATTATAAAGAGCTGTCCAAAAAATTTGTAGAATATGCTGGTGGCATTCCTTTAGCTCTTGTAGTTCTAGGTTCATACTTGAGGGGAAAAAACATAACAGAATGGTCAGAAGCATTTGATAGACTTGATGAAGATCCTCAAAAAGATATTATGAATGTGCTTAAAATAAGTTTTGACGCATTAAATGGCACAGTGAAGCAAATCTTTCTGGACATTGCATGCTTCTTCAAAGGAGAGGATCAAGTCCGTGTAAAACGGATATTAAAAAGTTGTTGTTTTTATCCAGAAAGTGGTATGCATGACCTTGTTGATAAGGCCCTAATTAAAATTAATGAAAGAAATGAACTGTGGATGCATGATTTACTTCAGAAAATGGGTCAAGACATTGTTCACAAAAAATTTCCTAATGAGCCTGGAAAGCGCAGCAGACTGTGGATTAATGAGAATGCCTACAAAAGCAGCAACAAATGCAGCAGGTCATGGTATGAAAAAGTACTCGTGGAGAATACGGTATGTGTTAATCCTAGTTAGTTCAAGCATAATTTTTTTCTTGAAAAGGAACCGTCAAATAGTAATTAAAAAAAATTAAAACCTTGAAGAACACAAATGTGGTTCCCTAATACACTTAGCGCAACCTGGCTAATATGCCAATAAACAAGTGTGCCCCATCGGTGATCGAATGGACCATTTAAGAGAGTTGACAGAAAAGGGCGAAGTGAGATAAATAGATAAATTTCAGAGGGTTAAGTGAGATAAAACGAGTTTTGTTAATAAAGATGAGATTAATATCTTAGTATGGGCTCAAACAATAATTTTTAAGCGTAAAATTTTAAGAAACTTGTTTAGTTATTGAAAGCCCATTTGGTAACACTTCCGTTCTTATTTTTGTGCTTTTAGTGTTTCTTTTATGGTTAAAGATAGAGGGAAAATGTATGGAAGGAATGAGGGAGGAAGAAAGGAGGAGGAATAAATGAGGAAGAACTAAAAGAGAATGTGTGAAATAAAAAACTTAAAACAAAAAACTATTTAAAATTGTTTTTAGCTTTTGTGTTTTGGTTTTCATACCATTTATCACTCATCCATCCTTACCCCGTCCCTCCTTCCTCTCCCTGCCTTTCTTCACTTGTTCTCCTTTACATTTTCTCTATGTTCTAGATAATAGATGTGAATTAATTGTTAGGTTTTGTTCATCTTATTGTCTAGCATGCTATGTCTTACACTTGAACTTTATCGTTTTGGTATAGGGAACAACTGCTGTCGAAGGCATATTCCTAAGCTTGCCGGCAAAGGAAGAGATACAGTTGGATGCTGACCCATTCGCTAAAATGTGCAACCTAAGATTGTTGAAGATTTGTAATGTCAACTTTTCTAGATGCCCTGAGTATTTCTCTAAAGAGTTACGGCTTCTGGAATGGCATGAATATCCTTTAGCATCTCTGCCATCAAGTTTTAAACCATGTCAGCTTGTTGAACTCAAGATGCCTAACAGTCGCATTACCCAACTATGGCATGAAAGTGTAAGATCATTTATATATATATATACACACACACATAAATTCTCCTATGCTGACGTATGAACGTTATTATCATGGGTTGTCATGTATTTTCTACTTCCCCTCACTGCTTTCCTCCCTATTTATAATGGCATCCGCACGATAATAACGTGTAGACATCCGGATGAGAGAATAACTAAACTGTAGGGTTGACGGGTGTTAGCACGATAGGTATATATATATAGTTATTCTCTCTTCTATATGTTTGCATGTTATTATTGTGCGGATGCCATTGTAAATGGGGAGGAAAGCAGAGTGGGGTAGTAGAAAATACATTGCGTTCGCATGATAATAACGTCCGATGTCCGCGTACGAGAATTTCTGTATATATATATTTCTTGCACCAAGTTAGGCTCACAGTTAGTTATGATAAAGTTAATGCTAGAATGCTTATCTTCCCAATAATTGCTAAGTTGTCTAATAACTCTTTTTTCTTTTCCAATTCCATAACAGTGTACCATGATGGAAAACTTAGTACAAATGGATCTTTCAAACTGCAAATTCTTGATCAAGACCCCAGACTTCAGAAAGGTCCCAAATCTTGAGAGGTTGATTCTTGAAGGTTGTGAAAGTCTAGAGAGCCTTCCCTACTCCATCAGCTTGAAATCTCTTAAAACCTTTGATCTTTCTGGTTGTTCAAAACTCAAAGAGTTTCCAGAGACTCTGGGAAACATGGAAGCTTTGTCAGAACTTTATTTAGATGGGACGGCTATAAGGACGCTGCCAGCATCAATCCGGAAATTGAGGGGGCTTAGTTTGTTAGGTTTAAGTGATTGCAAGAACCTTATGAGTTTTCCGATGGCCATTTGTAGTTTGACATCTTTGAAATATATATATATATGTATAACTGCCCACATATACTAGTGCCGAAAAACCTAGGGATACGGTGGCAAGAGCTTGATGCCTGGAATACTGCTAGAAAAGAAGTGCCTGGACCCGTTTTAATTCCGCATGGTTTGGTTCTTAGAAGGAGAGAAGATTGATTTTATTTATTCAACAATAAATGAGTACAAGGCTTTATAGAGCGCTAGGCTTATTGGCCTTCAACAACTAGAAACTGTTTACTAGGCTTATTGGCCTTTTCACTCTTTGCTGGCTTATTTGCCTTCACTCTTAGCTTTGTACAAGAGGCAACACCTATCTATAGACTAAAGCTGCCGCCATTGTCGAAGTTGGTGGACTTGGCCACTTCTCATAGCCACTAATTTACAATATAATATTACCTTATTATCTTATTGTCAAAGTTAATAGACATGTCCTGAGTTTTCTAATTTTTTTTCTAGAATTTTCTAAATTATTCAAGTGTGTATTAAATTTAGGGTAATGATTTCCCCACTCCAATTTTATCCACTTACACTCCTTTTTTAGTTATAAAATGGAGTGTAAGTGGATAAAATTGGAATGGGAAAATCACCCCTCTAAATTTAACACGAGTCTTGAACAATTATGTTTCCGCGGAGGTCACATAACATCGTGGACTCCACTCAACAAACAGAATCATGCATAAAGAGATCACATTGACATTCCTTTATTACCTGTGCTCCACTGAGATTATTATATACAACACTACGCTTTTGTTTAGATGCTCCATTGCTTTGTTTGTCTATATATTGTAGACTGATGTATCATTCAAAAGACAGTTAAAAATTTCAATACAATATTCAAGATAGTTCTATCTTTTAAATATTTTGTATCCACCAAAGCTAAATCCACGTATTTATCGCCGAGGCTGCCATTAAAAGTGGATTTATCCTCTTTGAAAACACCAAGTCCACCTCAAATGAAGAAAGTAGAAGGAGAAATTCTAGGTGATAACAATTTCTTGAGCTCACTTGAAAGCATCTCTCAAATTTCTGAGCTCGTCGAACATGGTGATAACAGCTCCTCTGAAAGCATCTCTCAAATTTCCGAGCTTATCGAACATGGCGGTAACAATTTATTGAGTCTTGTAGAAATTCACTCATCTGGGTTGAGCTCATTTGAAGGCACCTTTTCACCTTCCAAGCTTGTAGAACTTCACATCTCTCCACTTTCCGAGCTTATAGAACTTAGCTTATTTAGGTGTAGCAACCTTCAGACCTTTTCCTCTTTGAAAACATCAATATGGAATTTAGCCTTGTTTACACCCAAAATAAACAGCCAATAAGGGCAAGACACGTGGAGAAAACTGGGCTTGGTCAGAGGCGCCCTCGGCACTCTACCTACCGATCTCTCCATTAGGGCAACACCCTCTCCTGGGACACGTGGCACGCTCCCAAGCGACGCCCACAGTCCCACATCGAAATAATCAACAAAATGCACACCTCCCAAGACCTATAAGAGGAGGCCAACCATCCCAAAATAGAGGTAATCAGAACTTACGGCATACAAGCCTATTGATCTGTCAGTTGAACTTTCTATTCCCGAACTTACTTAAGCATCGGAGAGCCTTCGGCCGGTACCACACCGGTGCCCTAGGTCTTACCGTGCGTTTGCTCATATTGCAAATCGCGTAGACTACCGAGGCATCAAGGATACCGAAGGCATAAAATTACTAAGTTGACCCTCTAAGTCAAAGAACCACTTTTTGGCGTCAACAGTTTGGCGCCGTCTGTGGGAAACGA